AGAAGTGGCTCTGAATATCAAGCCTTGCTGGAACAACATGGATTCACAAATGTCAAAATCAGAATTACAGGAAATTTGTTAGATGTCATTCTCTGTGTTAAGACGTAGAAAAAAATGGATTTAGTTAAATCTGGATGTCTTCTACTCATGTTTGATGTTTTGTAATTATGCAAATACATTCAACCCCTATCAATGTCATAAACAAGAAATGTTATGTCAGCTTTCTGATGTTACTTTTAAAAAGGGGGAGAAATTGATTTAATTTACTTTTTACTTCAGTAAAATGATGCCAGAAGATTCTGGCAGTGATACTGTTGCTGCGCAACACCTGTAGCACACAAATGCTGGAACCAGCTTCTTGAGAGAGTCAAGACAATCACACAGAATCACAGAATATGCTGAGTTGGAAGGGACCCACAAGGATCATTAAGTCCAACCCTTACCCTTGCACAGGACCATCCTGAAGAGTCACACCACGTGCCTGAGAGTATCGTCCAGACACCTCTTGAACTCTGTCAGGCTTGGTGCTGTGACCGCTTCCCTGGAGAGCCTGTTCCAGTGCCCAGCCACCCTCTGGATAAAGAACCTTTTTCTAATGTCCAACCTAAACCTCCACTGACACAACTTCAGACCATTCCCTTGGGTTCTGTCACTGGTCACTGCAGAGAAGAGATCAGTGCCTGCCCCTCCTCTTCCCCTCACAAGGAAGTTATAGACTGCAATGAGGTCTGCCCTCAGTCTCCTCTTCTGCAGGCTGAACAGACCAAGTGGCCTCAGCCACTCCTCATACAGCTTCCCATCAAGGCCCTTCACCATCTCCATTGCCCTCCTTTGGACACTCTCTAATAGCCTAATGTCTTTTTATATTGCGGCACCCAAAACTACATGTAATATTCAAGGTGAGGCCACACCAGTGCAGAGCAGAGTGGGACAGTCTGTTACGGCCCGCCCCAGGAAAAGGGAAGGGGAGGTAACTCAGGTTTATATCAATAATTCCCTTGGGGTGGATTAAAGTGAAGCGACACTAAATAATCAGTGTCTGAAAACATATATTGGTAAGGTTTATTTTAGACGTATATAGATAGGGTTCATTTTAACAATTTTGTAGCATTTTGGGTGCTGTCATATAACAAGGCGAACTTTTTGGGGGGGAGAAAAATGCATAGGGGAGAGAAAGACAGGGTAAGAGTAAGGGAGAGCAAAGAAAAAGAAAAGATGAGAGTGGTAAAAACTTATATAGTCACCGCCCACTGGATCCAGCAATGTGATCTGGCAATCCTGAAAGCAATGGTCTTGATTCGCAGGTGGTGGGGGGAGAAGGAAAAAAAATACTCCCCAAACCCCCAAAGTCACCAGTCAATATCTATATCCTCAGCGTGCTTTTTTGCACCTTCCCCAAGGCGGGGAGCTGTTTTCATAGGGTGGTGTCCCCGGCCGTGCCATGAACCGCCAACATTTTTCCCGCCTTTTGGCAGAGTTGAGGGGCATAGCAACAAAACCCCCAGCGTTTTGGCGCGGAGTTCATGTGGAGGGGGTGGTAAACTTGGCTCTTCCCGCCTTTTCGGGGCTTGACATCTTCTGCACTGGAGGAGGGGGGATGGGCCCAGTTGCCCATCAGAGGCACAATGTGAAAGTCAAAAGCCTGCAAAAGTCTCCCAGAATGCATAAATCATTAACCGTTTCAGTCTCTGACACAGTCCCCTCCCTTGAATGGCTGGTGATGCTTTTCCTTATGCCCCCCAAGACACGGTTGGCCCTCCTGGCTGCCAGGGCACTGCTGACTCATATTCAACTTGCCATTGACCAGGACCCCCAGGTTCCTTTTCCATGGCACTGCTTTCCAATATGTCTTTACCCAGTCCATACGTACATTCAGGGTCACCCCCTCCCAGGTGCAGAATCTGCTACTTCCCCTTGTTGAACTTCACATGGTTGGTGATTGCCCAGTCCTCTAATTTGTCGAGGTCTCTTTGCAGGGCCTCCCTGCCTTCGAGGGAGTCAGCAGCTCTTCCCAGTTTTGTGTCATCTGCAAACTTGCTTAGTATCCCTTCCAGTCCTGCACCCCAGTCATTTATGAAGATGTTGAAGAGCACAGGGCCCAAGATGGAGCCCTGTGGAACCCCACTAGTGACAGATTGCCAGCCTCATGTTACCCCATTCATTATTACCCTCTGTGCTTGACCCGTGAGCCTCTGGTTTGTATGAGGTTTCTGGAAAAAGGCAGTTGTATAAAAGCACAAGTTTCATCTGTGATTGTAATGAGATTATATGTGGGGACACAATGTTTGATTCAAGAACATCATCCTACTCCTTTTCAGCCCTACTTGATTTGTCAGCTCTTATAAAAGTGGATAGGAGAATACAAGATTAGATAATGAAAAGAGAAAAAAAAAGTGCAGAAATGAAAAATCATAGCAATGGAGAGAAAAGGATTTTCCCTAGTCAGATGCAGATGTGCTCCAAAGGTGAACAGGACAGGGCAGCTATTGACTGAACAGTTTCCTATCACAAGGTACATGCATTTTACTTTTGTTTTTCACAAAAGTTGAAGAATTGACAATACTCAAGAGTCTCAGAGTATGAAGTTCTTTTTTAATCAATAGAAAATTTTGTGGGGAAAAAAATCCTAGCCTTGCAGACATTGTGTTGTGCTAACATTCAGTTATAAGCTTTTTTAAAAGGAAAAATACCACACTAAGCTGTGGGTGCCTCTCGGAATATATTCACCACAGCCTTTCATAAATTATGTCCAGAATATGGTCCTGTAAATCCGTATGTGCCTAACCCTGTGTGAGCACAGGAGTCACTTCATTCTATCTGTATTATGATGTAGAACAGCACACAATTTACTTTGGATCTTTTGTTGTGGAAAAAAAAAAAAGTATAGTGACATACACAGCATACAGCAGTAGGCTATGCCTGGCACATCCTGTTCTCACAACATGCCCTCCGAGAGAGATGCTCTCATTTTGAAATCCTGCAAAGTACATACATGTGTAAGCAGTGGTTTCTGGCACCTCAGCTACTGCAGCTTTTTGGTTCACCAGTCATCTGTTTAAAAAAAAGGTTTGGCTTTATTTACTTTGGTAGGAAACAGCCATTAAAAGTGAAAGCAGTAGCAAAAGGTGTATGTGAACTAATGCCCTCCAGCTAAAACAATTTCAATACTTTTAGAAAGAATGGGTATAATTTCAGACATGTTTGACCATTAGGTACAAAATATCACTTTCAGCATACAATAAAATTAGCAAAGTTACTGATGAAACTATTGTCTTGGTAGGGGCTGGGGCCCTGCCGTGAGTGCTTACATTGGCAACCTGCAGAGGAGGTTTTCACAGCATCTAGATTTGAGCACCGACACAAGAAGCTGGAACCACACTTTCCCATTGTCCCTCTAGGAAACTGTGGTTAAGTTCTTTGGCTTTTCATTGTCTTGGATCAGTTCCGTGAAGAACAGAAAAGCCCCATGGTGTGACATTTGGCACTGCAGTGGTGAGGAGGTGGGAACAGAACTTGGAAGCAAGGATATGCCATCGATCAGCATTACTCACAGGGTGGTGAGCATGAAGTGAAACCCACTGGTGCCCTGGCAGTGCCCCAAATCTGCTCCCCTCCACCTAACAGCTACTGCTATCCTCTGTGACCCCATGCAGAAAGCTGTGCCTCCATCCTACACTGGCTTCCAGCAGTCACCACTGAAGAAGCCTCCTGGTTCACTTGGTTGTCTCACTCATTGACTACTGCCTGGGCTCACAGACCCACACCCCAAACCCAGTGCTTTACTACCTCACACTCAGCTTCACTGACTCGCAGAATCAGTCAGGTTAGAAAAGACCTCTGAGATCATCGAGTCCGACCTATGACCAAACACCACCCTGCTAACTAGACCAAGGCACTAAGTGCCACATCCAGTCAAACACCTCCAGGGACGCTAACTCCACCACCTCCTTGGGCAGTCCATTCAAATGTCTAATCACTCTTTCTGTGCAGAAATTCTTCCTAATGTTCTACCTAAAGCTCCCCTGGCACAGTTTAAGATTCTGTCCTCTTGTCCTATCTACTGTTCTCTGGGAGAAAAGGCCGACTCCCACCTGGCTACCACCTCATTTCAGGTAGTAGAGAGCGACTAGGTCACCCCTGAGCCTCCCTTTCTTCAGGCTAAAAAAACCTCAGGTCCCTCAGCCCTCCTCATAAGACTTGTGCTCCAGACCCTTCACCAGTTTTGTTGCCCTTCTCTGGACATGCTCCTGCACCTCACTGTCTTTCTTGTGGTGAGGGGCCCAGAACTGAACACAGGATTTGAGATGTGGCCTCACCAGTACTGAGTACAGGGGGACAATCACTTCCCTGGTCCTGCTGTCCACACTATTTCTGACACAAGCCAGGATGCTACTGGCCTTGTCCACCTGGGCACACTGCTGGCTCATGTTCAGCCGCTGTCGACCAGCAGCCCCAGGTCCTTCTACACTAGGCTGCTTTCCAGTCATTCTTCTCCAAATCTGTAGCAATGCATGAGGTGGTTGTGACCTAAGTGCAGGACCCGGCACTTGCTCTTGTTGAAACCTCAGACTGTTGGTCTCGGCTCATCGATTCTGCCTGTCCAGATCTCTCTGCAGGGCCTTCGTGCTGGGCGGTGTGGAGCAACACACCAGATGGGGCAACACACCAGGATGGGGCAACACAGAGCCGCTGGGCTCTGCAGGCTGGTGCGGGCGCTACCGACGGCCTCACCAAACGAACGTGGAGAGCGCTTGGGAAAGTATGGGTAAAAGTGTGAGCAGTGAGGTGACCGCCGCGCTGCCCCGCGGGGGCCGGGCCGGGGCGGAGGCGGCAATTCCCGGCCGGTGGCGAGGCAGGCCCGCCGCGTCTGACGCGGCGCTGCGACACTGGCGCGGCGGGGCCGGGGGACGCGGGGCGGGCCCGCCCCGTAGGCCCCGCCCCCGGGCCGGGCTGGCCAATGGGGCGGTGCGGGGCGTGGCCGGCGGGCCCGGCATTAAGGCCACGCGCGCGGCACTCCCGCCCTTTCGGCGTGAGGGACAGCGGCACTGACTCCAGGCTGCGTGCGCGAACATGGCGGACCAGGCCATCTCCTTCCTCAAGGACTTCCTGGCGGGCGGCGTCGCCGCCGCCATCAGCAAGACCGCGGTGGCGCCCATCGAGCGGGTCAAGCTCTTGCTCCAGGTTAGCGACGCGGGCGGGAGCGGCGAGCGCAGGCAGAGCCCGTCACCGTCCCCCTCAGGCGCCGGGCCCGGCGGGGACACAGGTTCGGGCGGAGGGTGGGCGGGGGCCGCGGCCGCCGCAGGACAAAGGGCGCGGGAGAGGCGTTGGCGGCTGGCGGGAAGGTCACGTGGACGGCGGCGGGGAAGTCGAAGCCGGTTCCGCCGTGCGGGGCTCGGCACGGCGGGCGGGCCCGGCCTACGGGGGTGGCCGCCGGTGGTGTCACTTCCTGCCGCCCTCACTGCCGGCGCTGAGGAGAGGGCGGCCGCTCCCGCCGCCATCTTGGCGGCCCTCACGTGACGCGCGCCCGCGCAGCGCATTGGCCCGCGGGCGGGGCGCGGCCGACACGCGGGGCCCGGCGTGACCCGGCGGCGCCCAAGGTGATTCGGGTGACCTTCGCGGTGCCACTGGCCGAACACGGGCTCCCGCCTGCCCACCCGCGCCCCCCTGCCCCCCTGTCATTAAGAGCTCTCGCCTCTAGGTAGGCCTGTTCCGAGTGCCGGGTCCACTCTGTCCTTAAACACCTCCATGGACAGTGAGTCCACCACTTCCCTGGGCAGCCCATTCCAATGTCTAATCACCCTTTCTGTGAAGAAATTATTCCTAATGTCCAACCTAAATCTCCCCTGGTGCAGCTGGAGGCTATATCCTCTTGTCCTGTTGCTAGTTGCCTGGGATAAAAGGCCAACCCCCACCTGGCTACAGCCTCCTGTCCGGGAGTTGTACAGGAGTTGCTCACAGCTGTCCCTATTTTGGCGAGTCCTGAGGTCTGAGGAAGTTAGGAAGCAATTTTAAGGCTTTTTCTTAACAATAATACAACCCTAAGCCAATCAGAATTAACTGCTTTTTTTGTATAATAGAAGCAGGCTTAAGCCCAGCTATGGCATAGGCCAGTCAAGGCATGTGGTCAATATACATACTTTTATTTGCAGGTGCAACATGCAAGCAAACAAATTGCTGCTGATAAGCAGTACAAGGGTATCATCGATTGTGTAGTGCGTATTCCAAAGGAACAAGGAGTGCTGTCTTTCTGGCGAGGAAACTTGGCTAATGTCATCAGATACTTCCCAACTCAAGCTCTCAACTTTGCCTTCAAGGATAAGTATAAGCAGGTGTTCTTGGGAGGTGTAGACAAGCACACTCAGTTCTGGAGATATTTTGCTGGTAACCTGGCATCTGGTGGTGCAGCTGGAGCCACTTCCCTCTGCTTTGTCTACCCCTTGGATTTTGCAAGAACCCGTTTGGCTGCTGATGTTGGAAAAGCTGGTGCAGACAGAGAATTCTCTGGTCTCGGGGACTGTCTAGTCAAAATTACAAAGTCTGATGGTGTGCGAGGCTTGTACCAAGGGTTCAATGTCTCTGTCCAAGGCATCATCATCTATAGAGCTGCCTACTTTGGGATCTATGATACAGCAAAAGGTAATACTTCAGAGGAGATCCAATAAACCTGTTTTCACAACTGTATTGCCTGTTCTGGGATGTTATACACTGTAATAACTATGTTAAGGTAGAAGGGGATATCGGTGCCAGCATCAGTGACACTGCAGTGTTGAAGGCAAAACTTGCGCATGTGTTGCTGGCAGCAACCTACTTTCAAGTATTGGTTTTGTAAGGAGTTGCTCCTGATGCCAACGAAGTATGTTGGTAATGATGCACAGAAGAAGTTCTTTTTTGTTCGGTGCATTCCTGTAGTTACATTGGACCAGTTCAAGAGTGTTTAGCAGAATGGGATTGAGCAATGCTTAAAGCACTTGGTTAAGCTGGACATTTGGGCATGTAGGCCATTGATACTAGTTTGTGGTAAGATAATCCACAGGGACAGTGACTTAATTTAGTGACATTTCTTTTCAAAAAGAATAATGAATAGTTAACACTTTCTCATGCCAGTCTAAAAAGAATCCTTGTTCTTAAAAGTTAAGCTGTTTTGGTAACTGAAGAAAATCCTCTGAATTTCTTTAGATGTGTTTTATGTTGCTTCAATGTGTTTAAAGTTTATGAAGTTGCAGTTTTCAAGTATGGCTCTACAATGTTTTGTAACTAGGGCATCTGGTTTCCTACTAGTTCATCTAGTGAAGTAGCTGTCATGCAGTGAGTAAACTGGAGGAGGAAGTGCAAGATAATAAAAAGCTAATTACTTCTTTTTTATTGCAGGCATGCTCCCAGATCCCAGAAATACTCACATTGTTATCAGTTGGATGATTGCCCAGACGGTGACTGCTGTGGCCGGTGTGGTGTCCTATCCTTTTGATACAGTGCGACGTAGAATGATGATGCAGTCAGGACGCAAAGGAGGTAGGCTGTAAATCTATGTAGCTGTTCAAGCAGCGTTAACAGAATGGAATTCTTTTTTACTAATAGCCTTGACACTTACATGAAATGAGGAAGTGCAGTAAGGCTCAACTTGTGTTTGTCCTGAGTTATGCTGAGGACTTCTCTTTATTGAATATGAAATAGGCAAATGGACTGCCTAATTAAATTACGGTAATTAGGGGTTGGAATAGTTGCCAGAACGAAAGCTTAACATTTTTACTTTTATTAACTAGGCAAGCAGATAGGAAGCTTTGCTATTGGCTGTGCTAAGAATCGTGGTACAGTCTTAAAGTGTGGTTTGGGACATCACAAAGTAGTTAAATGAAACAGGACAGTTGTTAAAAACATCTGAGATAAAATTATAGGAGTTAAGAATCACTCTTTGCTCTTTTCCTGCAGCTGATATCATGTACTCTGGAACGATCGACTGCTGGCGGAAGATTGCAAGGGATGAGGGAGGAAAGGCGTTCTTCAAGGGTGCATGGTCCAATGTTCTCAGAGGCATGGGGGGTGCTTTTGTGCTTGTGCTGTACGATGAATTCAAGAAAGTCATTTAAACAACCTAACTAGAATTGGAAATCAAGTTGAGCAGACCATGTAGAATAACTACCATTATGGACCATTGACCTTCAAGAAATTCCTGTGAGTCTTATTTATCGGAGCCAGATGATACTTGTAGATGGGGCTAGAAACTGACATAGAGGACTGATCCATTTCTCTGTAACATGCATGAAGACACTGAATCTGGCAATTCAGTGTGCTGATTTTTTTTTTCAGCAATGAAGAATGAGTGGTGTTGGTTCTGGGTCCAAAGTGGCTAGGTCCAATTTAGGCAGAGAAAAATTGTTTGCCTGCGGATCAGTCCCCAGTTTCAAGTCCTATCTTCTAGGACCATAAAATTGTATTTGAAAGCATTTGCTAACAAATCATGTTCTTTTCCACTTGTACTGAAGCACTATGTACCATTTTGCACAGCTGAACATCTAGCAATTTTGTTCTTAAATTGGGGCATTTTGCTGTAAAACAATAAACATACTTACTCTGTCTGTGTTGAAATTATTACATAAAAGCTTTGGGAAAGCCTCTTTTGTTTGAAAACTTGTTTCAGATAATGGTTCCTCTGATACATTTACACTGCACTCTGTAATAGAATTAAGCTTTTAAAAAAAAAAACTGAATGTGAGAATTTTATGAGGAAGGGTGGGGAAGCATGGGTTGTACTGATAGAGACCAGTCCCATTCTTTGTGCCTGATGGTCTACAATGGGCTGCTGCAAGTGGCTTTTTGCATGATTCTTAGAAATTGATGTGCAACTTCTCATGATTTAAAATGGGAGGGGGTGTTTCAGTTGTGCTAGCAAAACCCAAAGACCCAAGAACTGTCAAAAAGTAATGCTCTAGCCCTTGGTAAAACAGCTTAAAATAATTTTTTGTTATTAAATCAGTATTGCAAAGCAACATGGCATTCATGCAAAAACCCAGGAACCCAGTAAATGCCTTCAAATTCTGAGTGACCTATGTATTGTATTGCTGCTGTTTGGAAATGTTGATTGTTCTGTTCAAGATACTGTTTGGCCTCATCTGTAGCAGTGGTCAATCAGTACCTCTGTGGAAGGTTGAATTTAATCTGAAACGAGGCTCATTCTAGGAGATGACATTGATGGGGTGTGTGGGAGGGAATGTGTATGTTTCTATATTGCTGTAAAATAATAGATCAAGGTAGGTCAGCCTTCAGTATTAAGTGATTGATGTCTTGGGATGGTCAGAAGAACAAAATCAGACTGAATAATTTCTCATACTGCTATTCGAGGTAGTGTAATACCTATGTGCTGTTCTCCATATGTATATAATCTTTTATACTTTATAATCTGCAAAAATACAATAGGAGGACTAGTAAAGGAAAACAAGGTGTTAATCTTTGTGTTTTAAGAACTCTCCCTATATCTGGAAAAAGCGTGTCATTGTATGAATCACTGAAGGCTGACTGAGCTGTTTTGAGTTCTTTCTGTGCCTTCTGAGGTTGGTATTCAAGATGAAGTATTTAAATTAACTACTTGGCTTTGGCTGGTTATTACCTTCCTCTCAAAAGGACTTACCTTTTTCCTTTCACTGTTGCACAAGTGCTGCTCTCAACATGTGTATGAATGTAAGGACATTACGCAGTTCCTCTGTACACAGGCCAGTGCCAAAATTTATGTAATTACTGTTGGGGCTTTTTCATGCCTGTTTGATAATCGCAGCTCCCTGTAGTGCAGGCAGGTCATTTGATGTTGGCCTTGCCAATCAACTTGCTGTTTCACTTGTAATTATATTGATGGGGGGGAGAGGGGAAGACATTTTGTCTATGTAAACATATTGTGTAGGTTTATTTTCTGTGTCAGTGGCTTGAAATGGTAGACGTAGAGGTGGGATACCTCACTGTGAGTGTATGCTGGCCCAAACTTTGTGAGAGGAACCAAACATGGCAGTTACTTGAGCAGCCCCTGAAAGGGATAGGACTTTGACCCCGTCTCTTCTCCAGAACTAGGTTTTAACCACAAGAAATAGAAAAAAAAGTGCAAGTGTAGGTGGTTTTAACATGAACTACAATTTCCCTATGCTGTGCATTCAGCATGTACTAATTTGTGCTGGTTTGTTTTTTTTAATACATGGATTCCCTCAATCATGCAGCAGCAATTTCCAATGTGCCATGAAGTTTAGGAACATAAGAGGCAAACAATAAATGAGACTTTTAAAAAAAGCATTTGTTTTCTGCCTTATTGAGACACTGTGCAATGCATTCATTTTGAAAAATATTAATAGGAAAATAGCCAGAATTTGTAAAAGTTGTGGCATCTAAAACCTATATTATTTTTAAAAGGGAAATTGAATTTGCACCCTTTGAAGGGATTCTAAAATGCAGGTATTAAACCTTTATTACAGATTTTGTTTTGGTCCTCACAACTGTTAAGACTAGATGTTTTTGAAGGCTTTAAATGCTATCTGTGATTTAAGTACATACTAATCCTGCAGGAGATCAGTGTTGCAGAGGTCTGTATTTGCGGTGGCAGTACTGAGCTCATGAAATGGCTGACTGGCAGGCCAGTATTAATAGTTACATTTGACAGGTGTAATTTTATTTCCCATTTTTTTCTTTGGTATTGCTGGTTGGAAGATTAAAGGGCAATTTTAAACACATTTTGAATAGCTTCTGCTAAAAAAAACCCTGAGCATATAAAAACTAGAAGATCATTAAATTACTGTGGTATTCTTAAGCAGGCCTGTCATCTTATAGGAAACCTTTATAGTCAGAGGAAAGAAACTTCATACCAATAAAGACAGGAAATAAGTTTCTTCTGGATAAGAGGCCTTGTCTCACATTGTGAAGAACATCCTAGCAAGGTTTAAGCATGTCTTCAAAGTAGGCACTTGCAGAAGTGTGTGGCTGCTGGCCATTTTAGTTTCAAACAAAGGGCAAAGAATAAATTTCACAGATTTTTCTCCACTTGTTTCGCCTGCTGCATTTAAGTGGATTTTTATGGGACAAACAGTGTTATAGGCAATTATATTCTTTTATAGGCTGGTTTGAAGTACTTGTCAGCAGGATCCGTGCTTTTATTTTGTGTTGGGGGAATCAGTGTATTTTCTTCTTGGAAAGTTGGGTCATCTCTTCAACCGTAGTTACTTCCTCGGTATGACTTTTTGACGGTAGATTTACATATTCTGTCTAAAGAGAAAGAAAAGTCTGTAACATGCAGTAGGCTAGAGAGTCACTGTCAATAATCAGACAACACTAGATACACAGTACCAAAGATGCCTCTTCTTGCTCTTTCATTACTTTAAGAGATGCTTACAAAGCAGGAGAAAGTGGTTTTAAGGACAGTTAGGGATTGTTTTAATATGTACAATCAGTACTAGCTGTTTGTCAGCAGAAGGACAAAATAGAATTTTATCTAAATGCTGGACAACCTTAACTGAGACAATGGAAGGAATTTATTCAGTGGGTATTGCCTGAATTTTTGATATGTAAGCATTAGCTAGACTTCTAGAGAAAATACTTTGGTTGCTATTACACATTTTAACATTGGTTAACGTGGAGTTCTAGGAGAGTGGATGTTTCTAGGTAAGATCACAGTACTGATACAGCACTCAGAGCTGAAAGTATTGAAGGGAGATAAGTATGATTAAAAAAAAAAAAAAAAAAGGAGGGATAGTACCAGGGGGAAAAGTTAAAAAAAGGAAAAACATGCTGCTGGTATGTGACAACATCAAACCAGGATGTGTTGGTGGGGAATTTTTTTCTAGGAAATCTGAGGGATCGGTTAAGCACTGCAGGGCTTCATGGTCATGGTGTTTTGTGCTACTTGGCTACTCTGAGAAAAATGCACAAAGAGAGTGTCTTTCAAATCCTTGGAATGAATTTGATCTGGGAAAAGAGGAAAACTTAAGTGTTAGACTTCTGAGTGAGGGTGAAAAAAGTATCCAGGGAGAGTGACTGAAATGTCATCAGGCTTTGGTAGTAAGATGAGTAAAATAAAATGGTTAGAGGAATGCAAGGTGTCTGATGCACTGAGTGATTTGGTTTGTAGGATCTTACAATAAATAAGAAAATTGGTAGTTTTTTTAACATGAGCATTTTAAGAATACAGGTGCAAACTCAGCACAGAAAAGTTAGGATTTTGTAATAGAGATATTTCAGTGATCTAGGGAAAAGTATAGTGAAACATAAGAAAAAAAGAGAAAATGTGAAAGGTCATTAAGTAAGTTGGGGCAAAACAAAGAAATGCAAGCTTTAAAAAGGTGTGATTAGCAAGTTATGGGTTTCAAAATAACTCATAAATCCCAAATGTCAGGGAGAGAGTGTTCTGGTGTTCTGTAGAGGAGAGATCTTGAAAATACCCTTTTTGTACTTTATTTTCTGCTTTGAAGAATTGCAGCATTCAATCAGTGTTAAAAAGATAGCTGAGTTTGGAGGGAAGAAGTATAATAAAATTAGATTTTAAGACTAGATCAAAATGGGCAAAGAGGAGTCCAGAAGCTGTTTAAACATGTCATAATTGTATGAATTACCTTCACAGTGCCTGTTGACAGGTATGAGGCAACCTGAGGGCTTCGCTTGAACTCTGGCAACTGCTGCTGTTAAAGTGTTGCCTGCATGGAGGAGCCTGTGCCAGCATTTAGAAACCACACCCACAAAGGCCTTTGGGCTGTAATGGAGTGATTTGATTAAGTCTGGTAGTATATGCACAGAAATTTGGAAGCCCTCAAGTTTAGGAAAAGCAAGCAATCTGGAGAGTCTGCAATTTTTGAAAGACTGCTTGCTACTGTACTAGCTCTTATTATTTAATATGATGGACTGTGGATGGCTTATGCTCTGGAAGCCTGGCATGAAGTGAGATACCAGGTATTTATGATTTAAGGTGTATGAGGAAACCTATCCATGTCACATTCCTACCTGCTTTCTGTGAAAGTCAAAGGTGGTAGCACCAAAGACAAATTAAATAGGACAATGTGCTGGTATATAGTTACCAAAACTAGAGAGTTTTAGTAGTCAGAGCTTTGAGGATACTTTGTAAACAATTGAAGGAAAATTTCTGTGCCACTTCTGAAAGCCTCATTGGAAAGCATGGTGTTGCCACTGAATTATTGTAGGCAGTAAATGATTAGCCTTATTTATTGACTTTGCTTTAGCCAGCTGAGACAAAGCATTCCCTCACAATGCAATCACCATACAAACCACTGCTCAAATGGACAGATTTGAGAAGCATCAATGGTTTGAAGCCTGGTTGTCATGAAAGACAGGAAGAGTTAACTGCTGTTAACAGTATGCAAGTGTGTAAGATACTGTAAACAGGAAAGGAATAAGGATAAAGAGTAATGGATTTTAAGTGCAGTAAAACAGGCTATTAAAAAGCTTTTAAAAAGTGAGGATAGTTAAAAATATAGAATAGGGTACATGGAGATGCTACAGTATATTGGTCAAATACAGTTTGCACAAAGCACTGAAATCACTAATCTGTGCTGGTGCAAGAGGAAGGCTAGTTAAGCTGTTGCGTCTTTCCAGTCCTGTTGATTTTCATTATTCAGTGTGACAGGATTTTTACATGGGGTTGGTCAGGCTTATAAAATACATATTCACATTGTATTGTGTATTATGTGATTGATGTTTGAAAATGCTAATGGAAAATATTTTCTTACTTGGGTTATTTTCAAAGTATGAACATTAGCCTTGTAAAGCTTGTACGCGTGGAAATTACCGTTCTCTGTAAAAGTGAAAACTCTGGTCTTAAAATATGGCTGCAAATACCTACAGGATAATCATTTGTCTCAGCACTGGCATAGAGCATTTCAGGTTTCAAAGCAGCCTACCTTGCATGACAGGAACTGGTCTTCATTGGACCAAATGTAACACTTATCTTTATATGTCAGTTCTAGTCTTTGGCCTGTTGTGGATTAGAGTTAACAAATTTGACTGAATTGAAAAGAAACCATACCTGGATATCTTCATTGGTTAATGAATTAAATTTGTCTCTCGGTTGTGGTATAGGAGGAAATATGTTCTTGAAACTGCAATACCTTTGGATAGAAAATGGGATTGTGGAGAAATTTAAAATACTGGTAATATAACTTACACAAACATTGTGTGTTGTAATTTAAGGACATTCTTTACTTTCACGATTGAATAGCTATTGCTCTACAAATTAAGTGAAAAGAAAAATATTTTGAGTGGGTTAACTGGTGGGTAACTATTAGTATACTTATCACTTGGGTTACTAAAATTTATTTTGTGATGAGAGTCACAGTAAATACTTTATTAATCAATGACTTTGAATAAATCACATGACATAACTGTCTTTAACCACTGAGCAAGAAGTTTTATGAAAATAATAATACGTTAATTTGTCCGGATTCCCTCTTGTCTGGTACTGTATGCAGCCAGTGGCTTCAAAGCAACCTGGATGTTAAATGCTTAAAAGTAAGAACACAATAGCTTTTGTAGGATCTGGTGGAATCCAGGATCCACTTAGTAACTTCAATATCCTTTCCCCATTTTCACTTGTAGTGATTTTGTGTGCCAAAGGGCCATCCACAACAATACTGGCGATAATACATTTTCACATTGATAATCAGATTATTTAAGTTTGCAGGTAGGAAAGTAGGAGATTGAAGGAATGTGTTTCATAGAGATAATACTCTATCAATAGTATCTACAGAAAAAAAGGTTGATTTACCTTTTGAAAAGACAATATAGGAGCACTGTCACTGAGATTGTTCCAAGTGCTATTAGAAATAAAATCACAAAAATAAAGTAATCTTTCCCTTGACCTGAAACATCCAAGAGAGAGAAATATCTCAGCATACCAAAAATCTGCCTAGGAGACTGTCACTAATGAATGCAAATTTCACAATTTATTCTTAATTATTCAAAGGACTTCAACTTGACTTTCTTACAGAACTTTGGCAAAAATTCAGGTTGACTCGATGCATTTTAAACCATTTAAAATATTTAAAATTTAGAGAAATTAAAAAAATAATCCAGAAAAGAAGAAAATAAACAGTTACAGAACAAATAACTGAACAAAATTAATGGAAAGGGTAAAAAGAGAGAAGCAGAAGGAAGGGGATGATATTCATGGTAAAAACTTAAAAGAACTGAGAGGCATCCTCATCACTTCAGGCCAAAGGCAAGAGTGGGTCTATTTTCATCTGTTCCTGTAGCCCTGGCATCTGAGTAACTGCTGCCTTCACAATCCCAGCTAACCAAAGGCTCTGCTGCCAGAGCACTGGAGCTTCTCTTCCTCATTAATAATTTCCACCCAGTTCCTTCCATGTAAGGGTAAGAATTAAGATTTTATTCATTCCTTTGACTGTGAGGGAGAAAGGGAAGCAAACACGGTAATACTGAAAAAAAAATAGTATTTCATAATCTTACCAAACTCAATGGGTTCACTCCATTCCCCCCACTTTGAGCTTACGAGACATTTTGTTCCACGTGCTCTGATTTTCAGAATATATCGGTTTTTCTCATTGTAATTTTGGAATTCGTATCTGTCATTCTTTACCTAGAAGCAAAGTAATCAGATTAACAAAAACTAAAATTAATTTTTAAAAATTAATTAAAAATATTATTAAAAGTCATATTAACAAAATATTAACAAAATTTGGGGTTTGATTTCATTATACAGTTTCTAGAAAAAAAAATGTGTATGATTTTTTAGGTATGTACTAGTTAAATGTTTATCCTGCCGTCAAAACTTTCTGGTTTTTGAAGGTTAAAGCTAGGTTTTTGAAGTTTATTGGATCTTTAATTTATTTTATTATACTTTAAGGACACTTTTTTCCCCTGTTCTTGTTTATGGATCCTAAAAAAATCAGAAAGACAGAAAGCAGAAACTGCAGAAATATCCTGTAAAATCCCCTTGCAGCCTTCATGGGGACATGGAAATGTTCCCTGCGTGGTGTCTGTTTTTGCTAAAGAGACCTAATGTTTTTGAGACAGTACAACAACAGATATGGATTATCTGGCCTCATGATGCTTTATACAAAGTCTAGAATCTGTCAAGCTTTTCCAAGGGTCAGAGGACCACTCATTTGTCAGGGAAAGACTGACAGTATGTATTAACTTCCGCAGGTTTTGAAGATTGTTGTACTCCCTTTGTCTAGCTGTCCTTAGATACAGACGCAAACCCTATAGTTCTAGAAGTAAGTGTATTTTCTGTAATAGTATTTATATGCTTAAGTGAGCAAAACCACAAATTTGTATGTGGCAAGAATACTTACAACTATTTTCTCTTCTTTGGGCTCATCCTGCAAAACAAAGACAAATCTTCATTTTTATTATTTTCTTATCAAATAATAAAATATTTCTTTCTGGTTCTCTTTTTCTTGCCTTTAAAGAAAATAAGTAATTTTAAACTGAAAAATTGGATAGTCTTCTCCAGTAGTGTCCCAGAATAACAGCATTTTATTCAGAATTTTGGCTTCCTACATTTCCTTTTAGAAAAGGAAGGAAACATGAATTAGTTATCATTAGATGGGAGAAGCTGTATTTGCCACTAAGGGCATATTTAGACTGTACATTCTCATCCAGCGGAAGTATATCCAAATTACGCAAGCAATCACACCATCCTACGCACACAGCAGGTCTGGAAGCTGTGATTTCACAAGAGTTTGATAACGTGGGGGAGAAAAATGATGTGAATAGAAAATTTACCCTCCTTCCAGTCAAAGTCTATGTTATCCATGCTCAAGGGCTTTCCCCTAACTACTGTGAAGAGGTACTTACACATCCTATACAATCAAAATTTGATTAACTGGAAATAAACTTTGACCTGGATCAAAGAACCTGAAAATTTTGGGAAAAAAAAGGATAGGTTCAAAAATGAGTGAACAGTTTCAACAGAGGTGATTTTTAGCAATGATCTCAGAAAACATTGAAAGGCTGAGGTCCTGGAAACAACTGTCACATGTAATATCAGGAGGATAGCTAACACTATGGAAAAGTCAGAAAGGTGTAACTGGAAGGAATGTCTCATTACAGAATACACTCCCACTGTGTGTCTTGAATTATAATGCAGACTAGTATTTCCCCATCATTCATTGTCAGCTGAGCTCTTTCAGCTTAGGACATGATGGAAGGCAATCAGCCTGTGCTGTGAATGGGCACAGTGTAAATGAGTTACTTAAGCTTTAATTTAGTGCCATTTACCTCTATCAGCCCCTCCTGAAAGGTGTGAGTTTTATCTGCCATCTCCATGTAGATACCTCTGGTACCTTCAGTAAATCTAGCACCTCAAGGGGAATGAGCTCTTCCACAGCACGGAGCCCTAGAAGTGCATTGTCTCTTAGGGGATATTTGTGCTCCTTTGCAGACACCTACATTAAGGTGTCTCAGTCTGCAAGATGAATTTCACACCCAAATGTAGAAATCTACACTGAACCCCATCCTTTCTGACTCTGGCACAGGAAAGAAGAGGTAACATGTATTTCTTTCAAATAAATTTTTTTATAATATTGCTTTAATCATATGTTGTGGCCTATATCTTTATGTAAAAACTTTTAAGTGTTTCACACAAGATCTTCCTGTCAAATTATACCTACCAAGCTGGAAAGCTATGTGTACTGCAATTGCTCCTTGAAATAGCTACAGCCTGCAAGCTGTCAGCCTTGTTTTGAATGAACAAATAAGATTTAATGGTGTATTGCTTTATTTCAATTGTATATTTATGTATATTTGTGTATTTTATTTCAGTTGTATATTTATGTTTAACTCTTAGCTGATCTTTCCTGCACTGGTCTTGTTCCTGAGGAATTGCCACCGCTGTAAGCTTATGAGCTGCAGCTGGGAAGTGGGATAAGTGGGAGCACTAATTTGCCCCAACACAGATGTCATCCACGTGTGGAAATCACATACTGCTAAAAGAGGTATCCCAGCGATGAGGAGGAAGAGTGCTATTTCTTGCCTCCTTGTCAAACTCCTGGACTCAAAGAAACTTCCTGGCCTTTGTCCTTAGAGATGTTAAAATCAGGTCCTTTGGGCACTGAGATTTGTGGAGAAGGATTTGACAGCTCGGCCTCTCTGCTCCATCGTATGTGGTGGAAACCAGACATACCCTAGCCTGGAGAAAAGCAGACTCAGGGGAGACCTTCTTTCTCTCTACAACTACTTGTGACAGAGTGGGGATAGGTCTCTTCTCCCTGGTGACAAACATTTGGAGGAGAAGAAACGGCCTCAAGTTGCACCAGGGGAGGTTTAGTTTGGATATGAGGAAATAATTCTTCAGTGGTGGTCAGGCATTGGAGCAGGCTGCCCAGGGAAGCAGATGAGTCACCATCCCTGGAAGTGTTCAAAAGGTATGTGGATATGGCACTTGGTGATGTGATGTAGTGGTGCTTATGGTGGTGCTGTGTTAGCAACTGATGATCTTGAAGGTGTTTTCCAACCTTAATAACTATTCTATGAATCAGGGTGAGCATGAGGAGCTCAGGACCCAGGCACAGGCTGGAGGCTGCCACCAAGCCAGTGCCCTTGTTGCAGGTCACACAGTTGTTCCTCCTGTGACATGTGCTTATGCAGGACAGCATCACGGGTACGCTCAAGTCTTTCTCAAGTATTCTCAAGACAGAAATCCCTCATTACATTTCCCTGCTCTCCTCTGCTTTTCTACTTCGCATCTCTGAGAAGTCTGAAAAAAGATCACGAGAGATGGGATGTGAGACTAGAAGAGCTGGAGCAGGAGGACACCACAGGTCATGAGAGAAGGAATCAGAAGTTTGCATATTATAGATACATGTGTGTAGGTACAGTGGCACAGACAAACAAAGAAATTGTTTTTACCTTATTTTGTATGTTAATTTCATATTGAAAACACTTTATTTTTTTCACATGACTTGTAAGGGGTGGATGCCATGTAATTATGCAACCCGCTGCATCTCCAGTACAATGGGCAGTGACATTTAATGGAGCAGTGAGTATTTCTGGGGGAAAAAAAAAGGAATAATTAATGTAGGCATGGTCAGTAATCCGCTACAACTCATGCCTTCATAGCAAAATACATGTCAAGGTGAGGCAACCAATGTACAGCTGTGTGCCACTGATTCTAACAAAAGTTATTTGGTAAACAGCAGCAAAATACCATACCAAAACTTGGGAATATATCACTGCAGTTGCTGGACATCAGAAGTAACTGAAGTTCACGTGAAAAACAATATGAAGGATTTTGTGTAATTCAGTAGTGCAATCACTTCTACATCTGTTTTCCAATTTCATATTGACACTGCAAGTCTCCATAGAAAGAAGGATGGAAGTTTTTGTACCTGTAGTATTTTTCATGTAGAAGAGCAAGGCATTGGAATTTGAGTGCCTATAGACTGAGTGTGACCTAAGTGTCTAACCACTACGGTCAGTGGAGACCTCTCCAGTAGTGCCCTGATGGCTGCAAAGCTCTTTGGCACACCATGGAGCAGATGTGCTTGTCTAGATAGCTCTGAACTTCACAGCCCCATCAGCTACAGTCAGGAGTCACTTGTGTTGTGTTTCAGATCACACAGGACACTCAGAAGGACTCTGGTATCTCATGGGTCCTGGGCCCCATCTGCAAGCCTGGTGGATGCCTCAAGTATCTGAGTGTGTCTCAAATGTCACTAGAGGCGTGTTTTTAGGCAACTAAATCCCACCCCAGATTTTTATTGGAGTTTAAACACCTAGTTTGCACATATTGGTCTAATACAGTCTTAATTTGTGAGTTGAACACCTCACTTGTGGGTCTCAGGGAGGTGTGGGATTACGGGATGGCAAAATAAACCCATCAGAAAGGTGGCCTTGAAAGTCTAATCATTGTGTTTCATTAATTGGAATCCATGGATATGTTCACACCACTTCTCTGAGCAGTTGTTTCAGGCTACCTCTACCTTTGCTTGTTTTAGTTAATTTTTGGAACTATATTCTGTCAGCTGTTGGGAGCAAGGTCTGTCCTGCAGTGCAGGATCCTGCAATGGCCTACAGACTTTGTTTTAATCTTATTTCCAAAGAAAAATTCACCACTTCCTTATTTTATAAATCAGTAATGAAATAAAAATGTTCAATTACCAATATTATACAGTTCAATATACTCATCATAGAACTGGATCAGGGAGTCTTTGCTAGATCCATTCACCACGAAGTAAGCTTTTCCGATTATCCTCACATTTTGGAATCTACATCCCATGTTTCTGCCATCTTCATCTTTAATGTAAAGCTCACATTCCATCTCCCCATCATCTCTGTATAAAGCAAGGTATTTTCATTAAACATGAGTAGTGTGATGTGTTGAATGAGAATTCAGACTTCCCTGATTCAAGCAGACCTACTTACCCTGAGTTCTGCCAGTAGAGAAAATACTGTGTATCTGCTGGAGCACCCCTTCCTGCCTGCCAAGTGCAGTTCATGAGGCAAATGTTATAAATCACACAGGAGAAATTTTCAATGGCTGACCCATTCACACCTGCAAACAGAGGAATATCTGTGATGAGGAAAAATCCTATGACTCCTCCAATGTGGAGGATCATGGCACATGCTTAGGTATGTTAGGTGCCTGCAAGTCTAGTTAGTTATTACTTGGGTCAGGAATGAAAACTAAGAGAATTATCACTCCATTTTAACTGCCTCTTAACTGTGAAACTTGTCAATAAGCAAAGCATTCACACACAGAAAGGAAGGCACATTGCCTTTTACCATCGTGTTGCTACAGAGAGAAGTATTTCACCTTTTGCAATTAATGCTCAGGAATCCATTCCTGAAATTCTTTACACAGAGGACTAAAAAAGCTGAGACTTTTAAAAGCAAATTTGGACTTCTTCCTGCTCTCCAGTCAAGCAACTTCCTTGTTAGATCTTTCCACCCTCACATGTGCGACAATGGCTTGTTCTGTTCCTTTTCTGGAGTACATTGAAGTGGGAATGTTTCTTTGGAAGCTCCCTTGTGACCAGGCTGTGTGAGCATGCTCAGCCTCCTTCTCTCTTTTCCTTCAACCAGTTTTCTACTTCTATCTGTGGTATGCCCCAAATTCAGTGAAAGGGTGGAGGCTTCCTTTGCCTCCAACCCCCTCCAGTGCCCATTGTCTAGGACACCCTTGTGGAAACACGGGGGACTCCTCTGAGGAGCCCAAACGCTTTGGAAGGTAGGGCCAGCTGGGGAGGAACACCAAAAGCAACAAGTTTTGTGTGTCCTGGCTTGTATTTTGAGGGTCGCCATTGGTGTTTCCTCTGCCAAGTCTACAGGAAGAGATGAGCAGGGAGTATTTTCTCTGTTTAGACATGAGCAAGCTGCTAATCTCATCACCTCTGTCATGTCTGAGATACCCTGGGTACACACAGCTTCAGGAACACTGTTGACAAGGGAATTTTAGTGGAGAACTTTGAGCTGAGGAGGAGGGGCAAAATGGGTTACAACAAATTCACCAACAGCTCAGCAAGAAAGCATTTAATAAACAAATAAGCATTAATATCTTAATTTGTAACAGCCACAACAGTTATTTGAATCTACCCTTAAACCCTTGTAAATTATTGGCCTTTTGGAGCCTTAGTATAAAAGAGAATAATGCAATTATGGATACACTTGTGGTAATGCATCTCTTGAGGAATGGTTGAGACATTCATTACAGAGCAAATAATTTTAACAGATCTGCAAAAAAAAAAATTAATAGAAAATATAGCAGTTACCTACTGTGTAAGGAACTGTTTTCTAAGGCAATGTTTACCTTTAAAAGATTTTAAATGGAGAAAACCTTAGCCAGACATTACCTCCAGGGAGAAAGGTGCATTTTTTTGAGATGTTTGTGTTTGGCACGTCAATGATAAAGAATACCCCTTTGTGCAGAGGCATGTATAATTCCACTGGAAACCTGCATGGTGGGCTATTCACCTGAAAAAGAACATGTTGATGTTTTATTTCTCTGCTTTTCCTCTTTTGGTGTTGGATGATGCTGGCTGTGGAAGTGCAACTCAGGAACTCAATTCCATGTATATGATATATGTTTTAGGCTCAAGAGCTAACTTTCTCCTTTAGCACTCCAGGGTAATGTAGAAAGGAACTGAGGGATCAATAACATAAGAACACAAAAAGCTTTGCAACTCAGGCGTTGGATACACACTATAATAGTGTGCAACTATTATAGAAGGCTAATAGTGCCCCAGTGGCATAACAGAAGATGATTAATGAATAAGGGAGCCACAAAGGAATTTAATCATAGGATTAAGCAAAATAGAAATCCTTGTCTGACCTGCCCAGCAGTCAGAAAGGTGTCTATGGCATTATACTTATAATCTTCAATAAAGATGTGATGGACTTCATAATATGCATTTCTAGTTAATACATCTGCTTTGCTGAGCTAAATAAGCCACCTCTCTCTTTTTCTGTCAAGCTTCCTATTTTTCTCCTTGGATAATGTGGGTTTATAACATAACCTGTGCTACAAGCATGATCCATTTTACTGGGAAACAAGTGAAGAACTTGAGATAATGAAAAGCCATGGCAGTGTTTGCAGAATTAATTTTTTGTCTGAAGGGTCTCTCGCTCTGTCTCTCTAAATTTGCTAGAAGTCTCACTTAGTCTCACAGCCCCTTTTTTTCAGCAGCTAGATCCCTACTCATGATTCAATGTAGGCACAGTCCAGACTTTCACTTCCTTTCCACTTTGGTGCCAGAACTTCAACTCTGTCGTATGCATGGGATGCTCCTCTCGCAGTAAATGCACCCTGGCATTGCTGATGGCTTTCCACAGCCCCTGACATATCAAACTGTAGACTGTAAAAAACCACACCTCAGATGTTATCTGCAACTGATTAATTTTTTTCAAGGTAAATTAAATTGATAAGAGGTAAAGAAAAAGGTGCAATTATTTATCCCAATGAATAGCAAGTTTACCTCTTTCTCTATGCTTTCCATGTCCCAGTCCATAATGGTACATTTATACATAGAAAAATTCTTGCTGCTCTCCCAGGACAGTTCCATTTTTCTCCAGTCCACATTCACATTTGTAATAGGTGATTTTTGTGCTTCTGCTGAAAGTGATACAGCGTAAGTTCTGTAAGGATATGCTATTCCTTTTTGAATGCAGAGGATAGTATCTGTCAGGCTCAAGATGATAATTGGCAGTTTAATTGCAAATATCTCTGATAAATAAAGAATTAAACCTTATTTCTTGGGTTATATTTGCAAAAACATACTTACACTCCATACACTGGATGTCAGCGTGCAAGGGATGAAAGAGCATCACACACCACCAAATCATGCAAATGAGTCCAAAACTATCAAACATATTTTCTTCTCTGGAAAGAAATAATGAAACCTTCAGGGGAAAA